TGGAGTGGCTCGCAAACGATACAGCTGGGCCACCCAGCAGAAGGCTGAGGTCAACAAGATAGAGTTGGCAAACCAGCTGAAGAGATCCTGGCAGAACTTATTGAAGGATCATTTTGAAGAGGCGATGAGGACATCCTCATCGGCACCACCACTGATGGCGAATCCCTTTATCAGGACTGCAGGACAACTGATGTTCGCGTGGAGCCTGTTGGGGATAGAGCTGGAAACGCTGACTTCATACGACAAGTTGAAGCTGGGAGGAAAAAATCTAGAGATATACCGAATGTTGATGCAGCACGTTGCCAAGGACAACTCAGGCTTGAGTCTGGCAAGGAGGAAGGATGCAACCTGTTTCTTGAGGTGGACGATGTCGATGATGACTGACAGTACCATCCTAGCATGTCATCAGAAAGCAGTCGCAAGCAAGACGTTGGAAAGGAGAGTCTCCACAGTCATCTTGAATGTGTATCAGAGCACTGGGATAGAGAGGGAGGATGGTTCTAGGCAATCTCTGGAGAACCATAGGAAGTTGGATGAGATACGGAGGTTCTACAACAAGAAGTTCGAAGAGGAGCACGACGTTCACCGCAACCTGGCTTCGTCAGGGGAGTACTTGAAACTCAACAGAAAGGGAGAGTACCAATATGTTTCTGGAGTAATGGGAATGGCGTACAACCCCTTCTTGGACCTGGAAGCTGGAGGAGCCAACAGAAATTATGAAGTGGCGGAGCTGTTGAAGTTCTGGACAGAGAAGATAGTGGAGATAGACGTTGTGGAGAGAGAGAGACCTAGCCTGGGTCTGGTTCTTGAGGGGATGCCGGGAGTGATAAGTGTGCCACGCTCAAGTAAAAGAGTGGAGCTAAAAATGGGTGATGGGAATGGCGTGTTGATCACGAACCTGGGAGTAGTATGGAAATTACTCAGACCTTCCTGGTGTCCACATCCCCATGCAAGTATGATTGAGGAGGTCACTGAGCGAGTGAGATTGGCACCGACAGAGGATGAGGACTTGGCGATCTTGAGCATAGTACACAAACTGATCTTGCCTCAGGTGAAAGAATCAAGTGAGGTGACAAGTGGAACAGAGCCGGTGAGGAGGATGGAGCCGGGCAGTTGTCTTGATTCGACATGCAGTAACGGCGAACATATTTGTGATGGACGATTATGCGTCAGGATACAATCTTTCCAGAAAGAGGACCTCACTACCTGGTTTGAAGATATCACTGAAAGGGAGAAGAGTGAGGTACAAATAGTGGCTGAATGTTACGCGAGGACCACCGTGAACCTAGCGACAGCCTTGGGATTCTTCTCGAGAATGTGCAGTCTCCAGTCACTGGAGAGGCTAGAGTCAGAACATCACCTGGTGACCGCGTTAAGCGTGGAATCATGGCCCGGAGTGCTACAAGTGAACCAGAAGCACATCAAGAGTTGGAAGATCGGACTCGAGGCAGAGATGGGATTTCCCATGAGCGAAGCCTATGGATTGCCTCTAAATGCAAAATCCTTAGTGGGATCAGTGTTGGCTAACCTATGTGGGAGCCACTATCCACTACACATGGCAATGGTGGAGGTGTCCAGCCAGAGGGTGATGATAGACAAAGCCTTCTCAGTGCCCAAGTGCGTGAGACTAGCTCGGATGTCACACCACTCACACAAGCTATTGAGGAAGATCCGAGGAGCAGTACCAAAGGAGCAAAGAGATGACTTGAGTGAAATCTGGGGTGAAGAACTTCTAGGCTTGGAGAGCGAAAATGCAAGTGATCATGGGAAGCAGAACGTGGTGGGGAAACCCGCAGTAGGTGCTTCAAGCTCGGAAGAAGTCGACGTGGTGCATGAGAAAATGATGGAACTTGAGCCTCTCCTAGAAGCTTCGGGAGAACGCAACCTTAGAAGCATCGACCTCACGCATGGGGATTGTCCATGCCACTGTCTGGCGCAGACAGTGTGGTACCCGGACCACGCCAATCTCTGTCTGATCTGGGACGTAGAAGAAATTAAGTCGCTAGGACTACCGGAGTATCGACAAAAGGTGACCATCTTAGTGGTAAGCACGATGCTGGCTCTGAGATGGATTGAGGAGAATATAGCGAAGTACAGAGAATCGAGAGCGCCAACAGCTGAATCGATTTATGCGATAGATTACAGCAGGAGACTGGAGTTGTTCGAGACTGCATGCAAGGTATTCGCCATACCAGTGCAAGTCAGACACATATGGAGCCGCCTGAGATTCTTTCCTTGGTTTCGTGCGACGTTAACATCCTGGTTGTATGCAGTGACAAAGAACCACATGAGGAAACATCAGAAGGAATATCGACAATTCCAAGCTGAAATAGGGCCAGATGCCTTTAAGAGACCTCTGCTAACCCATCGAAACGCAATCACGGCGGGGTGGAAAAGAGTAGGCAGAATATCCAGAGACAATTCTAGAGCGAGGGAAACGATACTGGAGGAGGACCTGGCGAGGAATGTGAGCTTGAGTCTTCATAACTCCTTCTGCTTGAACCGGGAGTCGAAGGTGAAAGGCCTACCAAGTCAATTGAAAAGGTTGCAAGAGCAGAGAGAGTGGATGCGAGCCTATGAACAGCTGAAGGCCTGGGAGGAAATTGTGATTAGCTCCGATGACGAAGAGGCACTATTGGAACAAATTACAGTGCCAAGAACACCGGTATCAGGTACCTCGAAGGCGAAGAACATGAGGTGAGCCAGTGGCTCGAAAGGAAATTCTAGAGTCTTGAGTCTTGAGAGGGAGGGGGCTTGAGCGTGAACTTGGATGAAATCTGGGTTCACGAAAAAGAAATTTTAGACGAATAAGATATTGTTATTAATATGATAGATCTAGTATATAAATCAAATTGATGCATGACAATTCTCTGACTGAAATAGGACAAAAGAAATTTTAAAATTACCAGCTTAAAAAGCGGGGATCCATGGGTGCAGGTGTGTGCAGATTTTGATTGCTGTTTAGCGATAGAGTGAAAATTTTATATGGTTGTGAATTTTGGAAGGTAGATAAACTTAAGTCCGATGCAAACTTCTGTAAATGACCACTGGCACTGTATCTTGAGCAACACTCGGTTCTCTGGGACTTATTGGCAGATGACAACACACGATGAGGACATCGATCTCGAGTCCGGGGAGTATGTGCCAGTCGGTCATGTCTGGGGGTTTGACCTTGAGAAATACGCAATTTTGGAGTGAAATTTTAATTTTGCAAAATTCGAATTGAGCATGTCATGCTCAATTTTCTCGAACCAACTGAAAATGAAAAAGTCAGAAATCAGAACACCCGAATTAACAATTGCGGGAAACTACTCAAGAAAAAGGCAGGAAATTGCTGTTCGCAATTTCTCGATACGAAATATCAAGAGAGTAGAGCTGTCTTATCCCGAAAACAGGAGAAAACAACATTGACTTGAGGAAGGATCACTATTCGAATGGAATAGTGTGGACCTTCAACGGAATAGAGGACTACTCGAGTGTCCTAATGGTCCAAACGAAAACTTCAATTCTTGAGACAGAACTTACTTTCGTTATTGAAACTAATTGGCCTTAAAACTTATTTAGTTATATTAGTTAATTCTCAAGCTGCTCAGTTATAACTTACTCCTCATACTCAAGTGCGTCGATATGTAAGTTCCAATTTAAATTTCTCGAGTGCATTTTATGATAGTTATGTTGAGATAAGGCGAGTTTTAGGTTGATCCATCTGAAATGGATCAAAGTTCCACTGTCCAATAAAAAGTAACTAAGCGGATTGATCCGACCCGGTTTTTAACGGCGTTCATGTATTTTGGGTATCCCGAGACCTAAGTATGGGGACGTTTTTGTTTCTAGAGTGGGGGGGTATTTTGGTAGTGGCCTTTAAGCTGTAATGGGTTCCAGTCTCATGTCGCAAGCGAACCGAATTGGCTCCGACCGTTCTTGAGGCGGAAAAACACAAGAGATAGTGTCCCTGACTCTTGAGCCAATGGTTATAGGGCCTATTTTTCTTAAGCCTCATATGTGACTAAAGTAGGCGACTGTTACATGATAAGTGTGCCACGCTCAAGTAAAAGAGTAGAACTAAGAATGGGTAACGGGAACGGCACAATGACCACGAATCTGGGAGTGGTGTGGAAGTTGCTCAGGCCCTCTTGGTGTCCACATCCCCATGCGAGCCTGATCGAGGAAGTCACTGAGCGAGTGAGGTTGGCGCCGACAGAGGATGAAGATTTAGCGACCTTGAGTATAGTACATAGACTGATACCGAAATAGGAGGAGAGATAATAAAATGAAGAGAGAACGACTATTCGGAACGAACCAGAGTGAGCCTTCAGTGGAAAGGTGGACAGCTTGAGTGTCCCAATGGTTCATACAAAAACTCAAATTCTAGAGCCAGAACTTACTTCTGTTACCAAAACTGACCAGTATCAAACTTATTTAGTTATATTACCTAATTCTTGAGTTGCTTACCAATTTAATTACTTCCTGTACTCGAGTACATCAACATGTGAGTCCCCAATTTAAATTTCTCGAGTGTGTTTTTTGATTGTTATGTTGAGATAAGGCGAGTTTTAGGTTGATCTATCTGAAATGAATCAAAGTTCCACTGTCCAATAAAAAGTAACTTAACGGATTGTTCCGACCCTGTTTTTAACGGCGTTCGCGTATTTTGGGTATTTTGAGACCTAAGTATGGGGCCATTCTCATTTTCTAGTGGGGGGATATTTTGGTAGTAGCCTTTAAGCTTTAACGGGTTCTAGTCTCATGTCGCAAGCGAACCGAATTGGCTCCGACCGTTCTTGAGGTAGAAAAACACAAGAGATAGTGTCCCTGACTCTTGAGCCAATGGTTATAGGGCCTATTTTTCTTAAGCCTCATATGTGACCGAAGTAGGCGACTGTTACACTACAGGACCGATCAGAAGCGACCAGATGGTTTGACACTCGTTCCATGGGCTGTTGGTAAGCAGCTCTTGTGGTATGTAACGGTAGTAGATTCCTTAGCTCCTTGTAGGATTAATGCCGGGTCTGTTTGTAACCATGGTATGGCTGCCGCTGAAGCGGAAGAGCGAAAAAATGTCAAGTATAAAGATCTTGAAGATGATGGGTATCTTTTTCAACGGCTGGCTTTTGAAATTCAGGGCGCGGCCGGCCCCAACACAGAAATTTTTTGAGCAAGCTTTGTAAGAACCTAAGCATATGCACTGATGAACCCAGAGCAGGCAGTTTTATAAAACAGAGAATCTACCTGGCAATACAGATTGCGAACGCCGCTTGCGTACTCGGAACAATAAATGACAAAATAACCTTCGACGAAATTTTTTATTTGTAACTTTTGTATATTATATTTTCTCGTGTAGAGTTGCGTGTTCTTATTGAAGAAACGTAACCCGTATCGACTTTAATTGAAAAGGACGTAAACACTTGTCATCTTCTTTTATCATTATCACTTCCATATCTAGAAAATTCCAAGGATTTTGACTGGAATACGTGATGAAGGGACTCCTGACTGTAACCTCGGTTACTATGATACTTTTGACCTTCTGATTACCATTAAAAAAAGACACACCAGATTGTGGATCATCTCATTTGTTTGCCATTTTGAAACGCAGAATAAAATGTTTCCCCGCCTATCGTTGAATCTTCGAATCCTCTCCTTTATACGTATGAAAAACTGTGATAAGTGACGTGTTTTGTGTTTGTAATTTTAGTGTTGATGTATAAAAGCCATCCGAAGCCTCAAAATGTGCTCAAACGAGCTCAAGGTAAGGCCATGTTTTTAGAAATAGTTCTTCAGCTTAGACTTTTTGGAATTTTTTGGAAGTTGAGCCAAGTTTTGTCCTATATTTGGTAATACTTATGAGGAGTCAAGGTCTTGTAAGGTTTTTATTGGCGCGAAAATGAGCGCTCGTTTCAATATCACTCCCAAGCCAGTTTTTGTTCACAATATTATGAAAATCAGTTTGCAAGTGGTGCGGATATGGGATGGGTACTAAGGAAATTTTATTGCTTTGGTCCCTTATAAAAATAGGAGTATTTAAACAGGCCTTTAAATTAATAAGCTTTTCTGTGACTCAAGTCCCAAATTTATTAGTAGTTACGAATTGTAGGCCATGCGAACATAAGGAAAGAGAACTAAACCCCGACTGAGAATCTGTACTCTTGCGATTAGCGCCATCAAACTGAAACTTTTTTGCTTGGTAAAAAATTTGTCCAACAGAATTTGTCTTAATTGATTGTTTACCATATTAAACACTCAAAATTAAATTTATTGGTAAATTTGGCGTAGAGGTAGCTTTCATGCCTGGGAAAACAGGTTTTTAATTTGAATCTAGCCAGGGCCCATTTCTTGTGAGGAAATCGAAGAGCAAATTATATAGGCTGATTGTATGTGTGCTTGCTGTTTGTCGAACTAATTGCCACGGTGCAGACGTTTATCGTGGTTTATTTGTCTTTTCTCGCGAAGCGCCATTAATTTCTCACTAGAGTGTCCTATATCGAAACCATTTTTTAAAGTTCAGGTTTACCAAAAGGCTATACTAAAACCCTTTTTGGAAAAGTTTTTGGCAGTGCAGACTTCGATGGCATAAGAAATTATATAAAAATCAAGTTCCTTCGGAACGATTTCTTATACGAACGTGAACAAATTTAGAGATGAACACAATTGCATTTATTGATTAGCAAGGATATTTGACGTTTTTTACTGTAACTATCTTGTTCACGCGATGACTCAAATTGGTGATCATCTTCGCTTTTGTTTTTTGCCCTCTAACAGACAAATTTTGATCAGGTCTACATTTGAAATGCTCGTTCTATTCCAATTTGTTTTCTGTGCAGTTTATAAGTTTACCATTTCTGAATACAGTATATCAGTTTTATTTTCCCTTCTTCGGCTGAAAATGAGTTGATTTGTTTTAGGTCGGCTTAGCGGCCTGATTCTGTGTCATTTGATGAGAAAAAGAAGATTGTTGTCCAAATATTTTGGGAGGGGCTAATTTTTTTTCGAGTGTTTTTCATGATAATTTTCGCCTTTTGTGTGTCCGCTCAGGTTTTGTTGGCTTTGCTGCCGCGTTCTTCGACGCTCAATAAGCATCCAATTGTCGGCTTGTTTTCTGAGCAGGGAATCTTTTGAAGAAAAAATCAAGACAAAGATCAATTTTTTTTTGCGGATTTGGTCGCATTTTCTGACGGCTGCCATGCTAAATTCGATTTGTATCGTCAGGGTATGAAGCTCGATCGGCTTTTTACATAAGATCGGCCTGCTTTAACAAAACATATAGGCCGATCGTATGCATACTTGCTGTTTGTCGGTCTCATTGTCACAGCGCGGACGTTTATCATGATATATTTGCCTTTTCTGTCAGAAGCGCCATTCTTCTGTCAGTGGAGTGTCCTTTATCTAAACCATTTTTTGGACTGCACGTTTAGTGCAATGCTATGCTAAAACCCTTTTTTGGAATAGTATATCATTTTTAGCAGTGCAGTTTTTAATGGAATAAGAACTCCTATAAAAATCAAATTATTTCGAAACGATTTCTTATACCAATGTGAATAAATGAGAGATTAATATAATTGCATTTATTAATAGCAAGTGTGTCGCAACCGGGTACAAGATGTTTTTCCGTCAATAACTTGTTCACTGGTTGACTCCAATTGGTGGTCAACTTCATGTCTGTTTTTTTTATGTCTAACACAAATTTTGATCATATCTGCATTCGAAATGCACGCTCTTTTCGGATATGTTTTCTGTGCTGCTTGTAAGCCAACTAGGAATACAGTATATCAGTTTATTTCTTTTCCTTGGCTCGAAAAGGTTTGAATTGTTTCCTATCGGCTAAGCGGCCTCAGGTTGTGTCGTTTGATGAGAAGATTGTTGTCTAAATTTTTTGTGATAATTTTAGTTTTTTTTACGATAATTTTCGGCTTATCGTGAGTCTGCTCAGGTTTTGTCGGCTTTGCTACCGCTTGGTTTGTCTTGTTTTGGCGCTCAATGAGCATTCAATTGTCTTATCGACATTTTTTTCTTTTTAGGAGTTTCAATGAAGACAAAGGTTTTCTGCCCGTTGCCAAGCTCTTTTTGTTTTGTATCGAGAAGCGCGATCGGCCTTATACACGCGATCGGCCTATTTAAACAAAACAAATAGACCAATCGTATGCATGCGGGCTTTTTGTCGACCTCATTGCGACAGCTTGGACGTCTATCGTAATTTATTTGCCTTGTCTCGTGAAGCGCCAATCATTCATCTGTAAAATTTCCTTTTAACGCTTTTTCGAAGTGCAGGTTTAGCAAAAGGCAATGAAAAACAGTTCATTTTGGCAGTTCAGAGTTGGAAAAATAAAACGATTTTTAATACCAATTCGAACAAATTGAGCGAATACAATTTCATTTGTGATTAGTAAGAGTGTTGCAACCGGGTAATTGAATTTTTCCGTAAATAACGTGTTCTTAGAACAAATTGGTGGTGAATTTCAGTTCTATTTTTTTGTTTAGTAGCATACAAATTTTGATCATTTCTGCGTTTGAAATGCCGGTTTAATCGAATTGGTTTTTTGTGCTGTAGAAATTTTAATCTGTCAAGAGTGATTGGTTTGTTTTTTATTGGCTCAGGTTTTGTCTGCTTTGTTACCGCTTTATAATTTTTATTTCGACGCTCAATACGCACGGAATTTGCTCTACACATTGAACGTTGCCATGCTTTGTGTGTTTTCTATCGTCAGGGTATGAAGCTGCATCGTACGCATGCTTGCTTTTTGTCGGCCTAATTGCCACAGCGTGGACGTTTGTCGTGGTTTGCTTGCTTTTTCTCATGAAGCGCCATTCTTTTGTCAGTGGACTGTTTTTTATCTAAACCTTTTTTTCGAGTTGCACGTTTAAAAAGAAGCTCTATTATTTCTTTGGAAAGTTCAAATGTTTTCGCTGTGCATATTTCAATGGCATAAATAATTTTATAAAAATCAACTTCGAAGCAATTATAAGAGCAGTGTGAGCAAGCCTTTCTTCCATCTAGCCAGTGATCCATTTTTTAATCCAGCCATCCATCTTTCCATCGATTCATTCAGCCATCCATTCATCAGCCAACCTTCCATTTTGCAATCCAGCTAACCCTTCCTTCATCGATCCATCCATCAGCTGCCAATCCAGCCATCCATCGATGCATCAGTAATCCATCCAGTCAGCCATCCAATCAGTCATTCCAGAACTTTTTCCGTTTCAGGATAACAACTCATTTTCTTCCGTTTAGGAAACTCATCAGTTTTTCCGTTTAGGATAATAACACGGTTTTTTCCCGAAAGCTCACGAAGGCAGCGAAATGGAAGAATTCTTCTTTCATGAGTGGTTTACGCCCCGACAAGCTTGATTTTTCAGAATTTCCATTCATATGAATCATTATTCAGTAAACTGGAAAAAAACACCCCTCTAGTTACAGGCTTTCCTTGAAACTGGAAAATAGATCGTTTGGTTTTCCTCTTTAAGTTTTGAATGAAACTTGGCTAACAAGGTTCAAAAATTCATCGTTAGGTACGATTTTCTCCTCAAAAATACAAGAATTTTTTCGGTCAGTCAGTTATTGATGATAGAAGAGAAGGATACTGAAACCCTCTATCTGGAGTTGTCGCTAACGCAATTAACCTAAATAGTCTTTTCCTCTTACTGCTATCAAATCTTGTATAAATACTAACACAGTATTTGAATGATGACAAACACATGACAAAAATTTGATAACAGATCAGAAAATTTGTATTAGGTTGAACTTTTGCAGTCTATAATCAATCCCCGCATTAGTTGATTTTTCATTCTGCAGTATATAAAGTTGAGGTTGTTGCGCCTTACCTCAAATACGACATAGGCTTAATTGTTGAAATAGTAAATTGACCTTCTCTGTTCGGTTAATAGAATAACTTTTTTTGTCTTAAGTAAACGAATTTTCCAAAAATTAGGAGAAACTAATCTAACATTGGCATAGATTACTGACCTAAACAAACCTTCGTAAGAATGTTTTAGTATACTAAACAATTTTTCCCAGGACTTAAGGAAACCCGGTAGGTTGGTAACATTTTCTTTCCAAGCGCTGCAAATGTTATGTTTTTGGTGCATTTTTTGGTAAAAGTTCGAGATTGATACTACATCGATGTTTTTAGCTTTGTTGAGGAAAGTTTATACGATTGTGTTTCAACACATTGAAGAGCGATTATGGAAAATGAAGGGTTTTTTCACGGTGTTTTTTAACGATGCAACATGTTTGAGGGTAATAGTTTGCATCAGCCTTGAAGAAAATCGGCTTTTCTTTTACCTCGGTTTTTCCCAAACCGCTCTCCAATCTGTTCAGAGACATTCGTATAAACTTTCCTCAGCAGGAGCTAAATTCATCGATTCAAAATCAATCTCCAATTCTTCATAAATGTTAACACCAAAAACAAGAGCTAATTGGTAATTTCTCCAAGAGATTAAAGTATCGATTCAGTATCAATCTGCAACTCTTCAAAGTTAATTATACACGATACGGAATAGGTTGAAGGCGGATTGAAGAAGCACTTTTGTGCTTCGATTGTGTTGCATTGCTTAAAAACTCGATAGACAAGAGCCCGGATTGTTTAAATAGCAGTTTAGATATATCAAGGTGCTCTTTTAATGCAGTAAGACGTATTGGGACCCACAGGAATTAGAACTCTTAATCATGTGGTTGCGACATATTATCGGAAAAAGTAAGGTCCGTTTTTTTCACCCAAGATGAAAAGTTCAACAGGAAGTTAATACGAAACCATTGAAATTATAAACTTTTGTAATCCAGTTAAGTTACATCAGATGGATTTGTTCAAGGCACTGAACGATTTGTCAATTGGAAAAACGATGTATTTATTTTATACTTTATTTTTTAAGTTAACAGTGTTCTCAAAAAGGCGATTTTTTCTGCAGTCAGATGGTCATAGCAAAAATTCAGGTAGATTCAGCTTTTGGGTAATTGAACCACTAAGTACGAGAGAACGCTCTTCTGAAGGTAGAAAACTTTTCAAGGTAAAAAGTTTATCGTTGCCATACCCTCATTGAGTTTGTTATCTTTAAGAGGAAAAGAAGACAATCGGCATTCTCTGTGATTTAAAAATGGGAAGTGGACTGAAATTGAAAATCGGTGAATTTGAGTATTTGTGATGAGCTCATTGCACATGCCTAGCTTCAATGTGCTTGAATTTTTGTCTTGTAAGCTATTCAGTCCCTATTACATACTTATACTCGTAAAAATCTCTTCTTTCAAAATGTATGAAACAGTTGAAACAATGTTGTCAGAATCCTTGACTCGGATGTTATTTGTCGATCTTTTTATTACAAAACATATGAAGTGTCAAAGTGTTGCAGTGTGAATCCATCGCAGATCATTGTTCAATTATTGTTGAATGCTTTTTAAAACAATTTCGTTAAGTTTTGACTTAAATTTTGAAGACACTGTTTTCATGAAACACTTTTTTTGATTTCATAGGTTTCATGGTTTCATAATGCGTCTCGGCGAGTTGTGTGTTTTGAGGGCGATGGCGACTTAGTAGTTAGGTGGCCATTTTTTTCTCGCTTCTATATTCCTTTTTTGCGTCTTGATAGGTTTCAGCCTGTATTATATTGGCTTTGTGCCTCATATTGTTTCATTTGATGAGAAAGAAATATATGTTTGTGTGTGTGTGTGTGTGTGTGTGTGTGTTTTGAGGGAGAGGCGGACTTGTTGATTTTTCTAAGTTTTGTTGATTTTTTTTTCGGCTTCTGTTAAGTTATTTTCGGCTTTGTTACCTCTCTGTAATAATTCATTTTTGTAATTTTACCAACCTAATTTTGTATAACTGTGTCCTTTCCTGTTTGAATTGTCGTTCATTTCTTAGCTGTATGCCCTATACTGCGTTGTTTGACAGAAAACTAGATGTTCATTCTTTGCTTTTCCAAGTAAGTGTGAAAATTTCTGGTCTCAAATTTCTTAGCTCAAAATTTTTTAAGATAACAGTTTTGTTTTCGGCTCCAACTGGCTTTTGATAAGTTTCTAGAATGCTTCTTTAACGCTGGCTATTGAACATCAATTGAAACAATGTATAAAAATTTTGTAGATATCGTTTTTTCAACAATTTTAGTACACAAGCGATCGTGTACATTCTTCATTTCCGATACAACTCGCCTAAATCAGTGCTACTTTTGCAGCGCATTAAAATATTGCCAATTTAATAGTTCGTGTTTTATCAGTTTTTTTGTTAGAGTGCTGCTAGATAAGTTCATTAAACATCTTGCGTTGGTGACACAAGTTTGTTTTACATTAGACTCTGAGTCTGGGGGATATACAAAGTTTATTTTTGTCTTCTCTTTTCTCTCTGTTTTTACTTTTTTACAGCTACATTTTGACGTTTTGTTGCTTTTGTTTAGTAAGTTCTGCTTCGCCTTCGTGTTAGTTCTTATGTAAATAGGAGCTTCCGGTCATGTAAACCAGTTTTGTTATGGGAATAAGCAGAGAGCGGGCTCAAATGGGCAAAATGCTAGAAGGATGCTAAATGAGTGGAAGTGTGCAAGTGTATGGCGGGTGTTTATTTAGAGCTGTTTGCAATCGAGAACTATGAGGAAGCACTAGAGCTGCTTCAAGAAATTGTGAAAGGCAAGAGAACTTCTCGAGTATGGCAAAAAGATATCCATGAGCCCATTATGCAGCTATATCTGCACGCCTGTGTACGCCTCAAGAAGTCGCAGCTTGCCAAAGAGGGGCTCTATCAGTACAAGGCGCTTTGTCAAAGTGTCAATATCAAGTCGCTGGAAGATGTCGTCAGAGAGTATCTACGGCTCGCTAAAAAATTCACCCTGGAAGCAAAAGAGAAATCTCAGCAGTCTGTGCTGGACATAGATGATCTGGATAGCATCAATTCTCCTGAATCGTGAGTCAAGCAAACAAAAGTCAAACACAACAATCCAAAAAGTTTCGCATTCAAGTACCATTGATTGAATATAACCTCTCGAAAGCGTGTGTAAGTTGCAGAGAAATTGTCTTCTGAACAAAGACTAACGATTACCTTGAGGAATATCTGTATTTTTATTACTAATGCGATCACTCAGGTAGAAAGAGAAGTAACTTTTGATTACGGTTCTTTTTTTGCCCAATTTAAGACAGGAAGAAACCTCGTCGGGGTTTCAAAGAGCGGTATTTTAGTGAGGCTTTATCAGTCGTAGGATTCCAAAAACGTATTTCCAAAAAGTTTGTGTCGTTAAAATGCTCTGTATAATTCTGTTTTCAAGACTAAATTTCTGCGAGTGAGTCGGCAGTTAGCTCAAATAAGAATCACAAATTTTGAGATATACCATAATTATGGAAATCTTATCAGATTTATTTGAATTCTGAACGAAAATTTTGTTTTCGCCAATAAAGGAAGTGAACAGGGGCGGATTTAGGGGGGGGGGGGGTGGGGCACACCCCTTCCGGGATTCGACCCCCTGTCGACCCAAAGGGTCCACCTTTGTACTATTTTGAGATATCCATATTTGGTGACTGACCCTAAAAGTTTTCCAAAGAATCCTAGATCAGCCCCTGGTAGTAAAGACATTTACTTGATTCGCGCGTGATTTTCGTTTCAGGAAAAAGTCTTACAACATATTCCTATTCAAAATTGATTTTTTGAGGTTTGACCCTCGACTTTTGTTAGTTCGATTCAACTTCATTGCTAATTGACAAATTACGCTCTTTATTAAAAAAAGTTCTAATGGCTTGTTTCGAAAGACGATTTTAATTTTTGAAGCTAAGATTGGACTAAAATTTTTTCAACTGATCCAGTTTCCTCAGAATTGAGTTGAATTTAGCAAAAAAGTGTTCATCACAAATGATGCGGTAGACTAAAAATGACAGAGCTAATATACGCTCTGCAACTGTCTGTCGCCTGTTTTTGACTTTTTTTGTTGCATTTGGTATCTTTCTTAAACTTTCAAGTGCTACTTCTGCATTATGCATACTGGTCAGCAATGCGATTCTATACTTGACATAAGTTGCTTTTCAGCGTCTTGATGAGCGCTGTTTCGAGCGAAGATACACAAGACAGAACTAATCGGACTTTCCTGATGCCCTGGCTGAGGTTCCTCTGGGAGTCTTACCGGCATTGCATGGAAGTGTTCAAGAACCATAACAAACTGGAGCGATTGTACCACGACATCGCAAGGGAAGCATTTCAGTTCTGCCAGGAGTATGATAGAAAGACAGAGTTCAGAAGGCTCTGCGATAATGTGAGAATAAGAGCATCATCATTAGCATAAAAAAGCAGGCAATGTTTTCTTTCTGATGGTTTCACCTCAAAGTTGCTTCTTATTTAGTTTTTTGAAGGGCTAGAGAATCGCAGATTGTTCTGCGCACAGCTTAATTCATTAATAACGAAATCAATTTTGAATTAATTTCAACTAAGATTTCAAGGTTGATTTCGAAAGAACGCCAATTTTTGTGGCAGCTGAAACAGAATTCCGAAAATTATACTGCGATTTGAATTGTCGCAACAGCGATAAAAATGAGCGCTTCAGATATCGCGATCAGTCTAGCGAAGTTGTATTTGGCTGTTGAACACATTTGCTTTTACCAGTGCCCCGAAAAGTTTTAATAATAAGCATATAGTACACAACAAGGAGGAGGGGGTGCAACTGTTCTGTTTATTTGCGCTATATTCCGTTCGCTCATATTTTCTAGAACGTCTTCGCCGTTTTGTTCCACCTCATGTCGAGTTATTGACGTCACTTTTGATAAGTAGTTTCCACTGGTTACGATCATTGGCCAACCTCGAAATTAGTCTTCCTCGTTTTCTACAAGGTCTTATGAGACAGATGGAAATGTTTTAGTATTGATTCAGCTTTTTCTCTCATTGATTCAGCTTTTTCACTCGTAGGACATTTCACTCATTGATTTAATATTGATTCAAATTAAAGTGACTTACAAATACATTCAAAGTAGACAAGAAAATTTTTCGCTTAATTGAAAACGAATAAACCTCAATTAAGTGGGTTCCAAGTTTGGCCAATTTCAGTTAGACAAATTCAATCTCAAAAGTAAAAAATTTTCGAACACAAAATTAATTATTTTAAAATACTGAATTTGATTAACTACACAAAGTTTAAGAGGATGAAGCTTCCATAGACATGACTCTTCCTCCTCCCGTGTATTCATGTATTGGCAATCCAACATCTTCCAGAGCAGGAATCGGACCTGGATAAGAGTTGTGCCACCTATTATCCGAATGATCGCGTAATTCTCCGAGCGAATTATTCGAACTATGTGGCTGTGTTTCCGACTGTGAAACTATCCGCAAGGTGTTCTGCCTTGTTTTTTGCACAGTTTTAGTCAACGTTATGAGTGTAGACAATATTTTGGATGCTCCTTTCTAAAGGTGTTGAAAATCCGATGTGGGTGGTGGCCGTTGAGAAGTTGCATTCAGCGATTCAAATCGTCCTTTTCAGAAGGGGTTGAACTCGTAGTCTCGTCATCTTCATCAGCTGTTCGGCTTTCTGCCCTTCCGCCGGTATTATTTTGTCCGTAATAAAGAGTCGCCTGGCCGTTCTAGAGAATAACGCTTGTCACAGATGTGACATAGATGCTTTTGACGTGCGTACTTTCAGTCCTATAGAGGATGCGGGGATTCAGTGTTTCACATTATTTTTATTGAGTTAGCATCTTCTGGGAAGCTTTTGTCACATCTTTTGTGGAAATTTTCTGATCTATAAATATTTTTTATGATTGCTAATCCATTCAATGATGAACTTTATTTTATGATGTTTGGGGGGCAAATCAGTGGAGTTTGCATCATTTATGTCTCTTTTTTTTATGATTTTAACAGAATAGTCTGGAATGAAAGTGAGGTGGGATATAATTTGACCTCAAGATCTGATATGTTCTTAAAACTGATCATCATAAAACGGGGAAAATAAATAGTCAGAACATTTTCTCAAAAACAGCCGTCAAAAAATCGACATCACTAAAAAATTTCAAAGCCAATTTTTCTGCCGTCAAGCGTTTTTACGCTTGCGATTAGTTAAGTTTGACATTTGAGTTCATGATCTTAATGAAAAGCGAATTTGCATGTTGAATTTTTGGACACCCAAGTGTTCCATCTCGGCTTGAGCACAAGATGTTAACTCGGTTCTTACGCCCCCAGGAACCCCATCTTTGTATTTGAGGACTACCAGTTTGTTTTTCGAGTCATAGCTACAGTGGGTAGTGGTTAGTTGGAGGATTCGAATGCGCTCAAAATCGTTTTGTGACATAAGTCTTCAATGTGATATATCAGCTAGAAGAGAGAAAACAATTTCCTTTGCATAATCACCAGCTTCAATTCCAGTTGAACTGAAAAAAGTTGAAATTTCAAAAGACACTCATTTAACTTAACGGATGAAGTTTGCCAAAAGAAGTGGATAAAACCAGCAGCAATTTTCAACCATTAAATGCAACTGCTATTCAGGCAACAACTAATATCGTCAGATCAAATCTTCAAAAAAATCATCTTCAGTTACTGGCGTCAGGAGGTGGTGATCAAGAATCAGAGTGTGTTATGCAGCAATAATCTACCCATGGCAATAATGAAAAATAAAAGTTTCAACTGAAAAACTGCAGAAGCGCTATGGTTGTGGAATCCATTCGAGGACCAGTTTAAGCAAAAAATGCAAATAACAATGCAAATATAATCTTGGAACAGTCGTTCAGAATTGAATAATTAAAACTAGACGTTATCGGATATGTTTTTTTTTAAGAAATCCAACAAACGGTTAATTTTACTCATTTAACTACTCATACACTGCAAAACACAAAACTATTAGATATTTAAATGAGTAATGCCAAAACGGTTCTCCACTCACCCAAGAGCGAAGCAGCTCTTCCTTTCTTTGCCGCAAAAAATTGTCAACTGTGTTCAAGACTTCAAATACCTTTTTGAGGGTCGATCAATTACTCCAAATCTAGAGCAGAGCGATTCAGTAAAAAAATCCTGGTAAAGGAAGACGACGACAAAAGACACAAAAGCAGTGAAGATCCATCTGAGAAACCAACATATAGATATGAATGCTCCTAGAAGCGAAAGGAAGCTTTTCAAATCACACTGTTCGAAAGGTCCAGCGGCTTTTGGCAGTGTAAAAAATCACATAATAGATCATAGTCAACTGCAATCATAAAGTCTCAAATTTTCTGCGACCTTTATCTTCAATTTCAAAGTATGGACTGTTTCGTAAAATCTATCTTTTTCTGAGAGCGATCGTTGATGAAAGTAACTAAATGTGGTCTCTTTGCTGGGTTTTATTGATAAACCGAGGGCGATGATTTTGTTAGTTGTTTTCGTGTGTCTATCTCGCTACTGAAATGTTGAGCCTCTCGATCAATTTTGCTTAAGAAATGAACTGCTTAAATGGATTTTTTCCCGACAAATTCCAGAGTTTTTGTAAAAACTTTTATATGGAGAGTGATGAGACTTACTATCTGGGAAAAAGTTTTCCCGACAAAATTCAAAAATGTTTCTGATCAAGATTTTATCTGATTCAAAGCATCTCTTATAACCAGTAAATCCAATGATCGCCAACCGAATACTTTTCCAAAACCTTTTTATGGCGAGAGAGATCTAATCAAAGTGGGAGAATGGGCTTATCAAAAACATTTGGTCATTAAGATTGAATTGAAACTCTGAAAACAAATCTTTTTTGATGCAATTCCTCAGAACATCCTTAATAGTTTGGATGAATAAGGTTTTTTATCAATCCTGCATTTAACCAGTTTTTGGGCTAAAATTCAAAAGTTGTCGAGACCTTAACTAACAATGGTTGCAAAATGATACCCGCTTTCGATGCATCTTATGATGTAAACCAGCGATACAAATCTCGTAGCTCAATGACTTATCAGATGGGACAAGTCCAATTTTTGTCTGCAGTGACGTTATTCAATACCAAACCATAGCGATGTCACATTGCTAAGGTTTGGTTTTGCTAAGGTTTGATATTGAGTGCATGCTGCATTGAACCCAATGACCCGAAAGTTTTTAATTTAGACAAAAAATTGATCACCTCATCTGCACATTAAATAAGAGAACAGCTGCGCACTGTAATAATGCGGCAGTGGATTGGCGCTTGGCTGCAGTTTTTAAATGTTTTGCTATACTTTTAAAAAAGTTTTTCTACTGGCTGCGAAAAAATTGAGCGGAGTTGCCATGAAGAAGAAGTCCTTGAAACAACATTGAAAAACACTAGCGAAATCTGCCAAGAAAAGACCTTGGAAGATGGTTAAAGATAGACACCAATAAACAGACTGAAAGAGTGAAAACCAGTATTGGCTCTAAAGAAAAACAGTCAGTCGAAGAAAAGATAGACCAGCGAGAAATCGAGCAGACTTTTTCCCAAACATAAAAAAAGGATCGCATATTTGTTACGCAATGAAGCTTACCATGGCTTACTGAATTTTTTGACAACTGCTGGTGATAACGTTGAGAGTGCGTTTGTTCAAAGCGTTGGAGCCTTCTTTCGCCCACTGAATCAATACTATAATTCTTATTTAATGGTGATCATAACAATTTCATTGACCCGCAAAAAATTTAGGTGGAAATACGATTCAAAATAACACAAGCAAAGGGAGCTGTTTCAAGGTTCAGATTCAAGATCCTTGCATTTTCTCTTCTCAGATAGTGCCCTCTCTGCCAATTAACTTGATTTCGCTAACGTTCATTATAATTTAGGTCGCAATTTTTTTTGTCGCAACTGAGCCCCCGCTGTCATAGCTGCGGCTGGCGATAAATTTCAAACAAAAATGGTGCGTTGATCAAAAGAAGTTGCTTTTTCAACCTGAAAGAAGCCTTCTCTGAGTGTTCTTACGCTAAGACTTTGCCATAAAAGTACTGATGAAGGTTTGCATATCAAAGCTGAAGACGAAGCGATAGACTACAAGTTTCAGGATCAGGAAGGAAGCATATGTGCTGGTCAAATGACTGGCCGACCAATTGCTCTCTGCCATCGAATCAACGTTGGTCAAGTTTTCTGAGAAATAAACTACCCCTATAAAAAAAACTGAGACGTGTCTTGCAACAGATAATTAGCGCAGCTGGCAGTAGGAAAGTATTTTAGCTCGTGAAGAGGAGATAAATCATAACATCAATGAACACTGGGATCAATGAACACATGAATAATGCGTCTGAGAAGTATTCGGATATAGTCTTCCTTTCTCCAAAGTTTGGATTAAAATTGATATCTTTGAGACGTAACGTTTAACCTATGGCTACCACACCAATTATGCCTATAGAAATTGCCCTAATACATACGGTCGATAACGTTTCTTTTTCAACACACTGTCAGCCTTTCGTTTGTCGAGTCAAGGGCTTGGAATCGAACAGGGTTACTTCCAACAGCATTCCATGTTTTTTGTTCTCATAAGCACACAGCAGGCTTCTCTTGATTTCTTGAGTCTGGAGTTTTTTGTATTATAGTGCAGTTTCACGCGAGCATCAATTTGCCAAGCCGTTGACAGCATTCGTGAAATATCTGTTTGGGGTATACGCTTATCCAATGTGTTAGTTATGGCTGGCCGGAAAGTAACAAAGAATGTTCATTACCTTGCTGCTGTCTAAAAACGGATGAAACCCCAGTTGCAAAATCTCATTCTAAGATGTAAGCACTGAAAGTAGAAAGTTCTTTGAGTGTTCGCGGCTGACATTTTTCCTACCTCACATCCCAAACATTGTCTTCATAATTGAGAAAGCTTCAAAATCAGTTTCTCAGACGACTTGTTTGACTGTGATATGGAACATATAAAACACTTAATTCCGTTTGATTCCCCCCATGTGATTCCCCCCCCCCCCCCAGCCTGTATCAAAAGATAAATGAGAATTTCCATCCAGTCATAGGACTGATGACAGGAGAACAGATACAAGACTCAAATTCCGCCATGTCCAGCTCGTTTTGTTTTGACATGGCACATTTGATTCATAATACAGGTTTAACAGTTGCTGCTTTTGACTTCGTAATTAAAAGATCAGACTTTGAAACGTTTCTTGACTCATTTGCTTAATATTTTTAGTTTTTTTTTTCATATACATTTCAATTTTTTGTAGATTAGTGCTCACTGATTGACATTTTTGTGAAATCTCTTTTTTTCTTGTCGGCTAGGGTTTAGCTCTAGAGTTCAGCTACAGTTTAACTCACATAAAGCCGAACCGTTATGTCAGTTGTTTTTAACTTTTTCATCATGACAAGTATTTTCATACAATATGTCGTGACAAATCGAATAACTACAAAGTAATTTTTGCTGATTATTTAATACAGGGTTAATATTGATTGTATAGTCATATTCTTTGGTGACTATTGGTTTTCATACAATGCGTGCTGACTATTGCTGTTAAATCTCACTGACAGCCCCCTCCTCCTGATTATAGTGAACTATATATATGCTTACTACTTCTGTTAAGTTTTTATTCTGCAATCATCCAAACAAGACTGAAATTGCTTTAATATGGTACCCTACAATTGGTGTCGTCCGATCGTTCTTTGAAATGCCTGTAACTGCGTGGAATAATTGAAGATATATTTTTTTTTTTTGAAATTGAGCGGAACACACCTTGGTTTATAGCAAACTAAATTGTTGACCCTATAAAATTGTTTGCTTTAACTGGTTGAGTTTAGAATTAGAGTTGACCTTTGAAATGTGCATCTTTTCACTCTTGTGTCTGTTGCAGCTGCGATACCACCTGGCGCAGGTGCAGAAGTACCAAGGAGTGGCCGTGACGATAGACCTGACAAGTGAGGAGACCTTGGACTATCACACGAAGACCCGTCTGCTCCAACTGGACACTGCAATTGCTATGGATCTATGGCTGGTAAGAAACTCCTACCGCCACCGCCACTACTATTGCTATATACCATAGTATGTTAAAAGCAGTTTCTGCTGAGATAATCCAAACCAATTCAATTTTCTGTAGTAGCGATGGTGCAAAGTATTCAGTTTAACTGAAAATGATCATTTTATTAAACGTTAGTAAAGCTTGTGTATGGGTTGTATTGTTATTAGGAAGCGTTCAAGGCGATAGATGACTTCCACTCTCTGTTGAGTTATTACAAGAAGCCACCCAGGCCCCAGACGATAGTGGACTACTACCACAAGTTCGCTCTGGTCTGTTTCCAGAGTCAGAACATGCTCTACCATGCAGCCGCCCTGCTGAGAGTGTACACGATCACGAGAGACTACAAGAAGAGCTTCTCACAGGACGAACTGGCCAAGTAGACTCATTCAAGTTAAAAGACGAAAACAAAAGACACACATTTAAATAAACACACCTTATCTTCACAAGCAATCTCACAATTTCAACCAATTTTGCATGCACATTTGAATTTTTTGGAAAGTGTCCAATTTTTATGCTGTTTGTGTGAAAATGAGCTTTTGCATGCAAATACTGTCCCAAGCAGGTCACTTTGTGCAACTCTGTGTAGTAGTCTAGTCTGCTACTATAATCTGCTACTGCTGCAGTTGGTTATGCCCGCTACTGTGAATTGCCTATTTTACGTGGTTAAGTTGTATGGAATTATACAAGAAGGCTTTGTGGCACTTGTGTGGGTTGTGTGTTTAGCCTGTCGAATGTGGTGTTGCTGGCGGTGCTCACCATCCCCATCCAGTCGCAGGAGGGCTGGCTCACAAAGTATCTGGACATGATGAGCATGCACACTGAGAACCAGCGCAGACTGTGTGCTGTGTTGAGCATCCCCGCCCCACCCACCAGACAACAGCTCCTCATGGACATGGTAACTAACACATTGATAAACACACAGAACACCACATTTTAGAAGAGATAAAAATCTATCTTTTTCTCCCAAGATGAAGAGAGAGTCCTCTTAGTGCAGCTGTAGAAATCTGGATAAAACAAGTTATTATTATACGTATTCGAATAGCAACCAAATCTTGATAATTATTCAAATCATTCGATGTTTTTTCCGGTACAAAACGTTACAAAATCACATAAACATTTAGTTGCTCAATTGTTTTTCCACTCAAATTCAGTATCCGACGTAACGCCCAGACGTTAGGTTTTGACAACGCCCAGACCTAACGCCCATCATTTTGAGAACAAATGTGTGAGCTTGGAGTTGGGCCAATATCTGTACTGGCTGCAAACTGAAAAGCTTCTGCTCTAAAGAAGTTATGTGTCGTACTTGCATTTCTCTTTTATGTCGACACAGAATGTTTTACGATTTAAAGAAACATACTATGTTTGAAAGCAATTTGATATTTTACTGTGATGATGCCAGCTAATCTGTGATGGAGTGCTAACTTTTCTGAATCTGTTGTCAACTTCTTTCCCTTCTTTAATTGTTCTTCTCACAATTAATTTTAGCTGTGTTGTTCCTCTTTTTTCCTCTTCATTGCAAGAAAGCATTTAGTGATTTATTATGATAAATTATGGTTTTGTCTGATTACAAAAGAATGAAAAATTCCGATTTCTCTATTTTCTGTGAATAGTGCTCTTTGTAATCATAAATACAGTTTTTTTGTAGAGATTTTTTTGTCTGACAAACCTTTGAGAAACTGTCTCTGCCTTATAATGAAATTTCAATATTTTGTAGGTTCTTCTTACTTGGTTGAATGGTGAAGCACACGCCTTTTGATCATAAGATAAAAGTTTCGAGTCTCAGCCGGACTTTTTTTTGCTAAAATGTGTGATAGTAAAATGTGTCAGAAAAAATTGAATTGGCCGACTATCGTTTGTCTGCTGGTTTTCTGCCGGCTTGCTCCTTTGAAGCACTTTTTTGAAGCAATTGTAACTGTTTCTATAACTTGTGCATTTATAAAATCTGATTTCGAAGTCAAAATTTTTCTGTAATGCTTTTTTTGCCTGGCGTAATCCGAATTAATGTTTTGTTAAGTTTTTTTTTGTTTCCAGAGTAAAACATTTTAGTTAAACGTTCAAAAAATCACTGTTACAACGTTTTCATTTTGGCTCAACCAGCGTCTCTCCATTGTTTTGGGTTATTCGCGCCCGCGTATATTGGTAAACATACGCACGATATTTGTATAGATTTTGTTTCGAGTAATTTTTTGGTTCTACTCCCTACTATCTTATGTTTCGATGAAGTTGCTAGCTTTGGGAAACAACAGGTTTTTTGTGGTCTAAGTGGGAACGCTTGACCAATTTGGTGTTTGCTTCAGTTTTCTCCTCTTAAATTCTCGAGTTGTTTTTTTTTCAGCCAATTCTAAGCCAAAGAGTTTTGATCATGATTGGATGGAACTGGATGTAAAGAGTTTTGTGTAGATAAAAACAGATTAACAAAGCTGAATAGAAAGTCACTTGGCATATCCGCTGTAACAAAACCAATTTTTTTTTGTTATAAAAAAATTAAAGTGACAGACAAGAAATAAAATTCGATTCCAACTCATGCTTAGAGAGGCAAGCACTTAGAGAGGCAATTCTTTGGAGACATTTTTGAGAACCAGGCAGACTATATTTTAATAGAAGTTGCGCTGAGGGTATGCCTCCTGCATGAGGGGATGGTATCAATTAAGATGCTAAACCTTCCAATTCTGTAACATTGATAAAAGCCGAGGATGTGAGTAATCCGGTCAACAGTAACATGAGATCAGTTGTGGCCACAGTAACACAAATAGCTTGTTTCGAACTTCATACAGTAAAAGAGGTTGCTGGCTTTCTATTCAACGGTTAAGGAAATAAACTCAATTTACTTATTCCTGAAAGTAGCTAACGAAGGTTATGTGTATCTACTCCTTATTTTCTAGCTTTTTTGGTATCTTCAGATGTTGATACTTGCTTTAACAACTAAGGCATGCTATATGAGCATGGCCAAAGTGTAACAGTACCCTAGGCCGGTAGTAGGGTCGAAATTATAGACGTTGCTGCCCAGATTACTCTGAAGGTGTGTTTTGTTGCAATTTTTGATAATATTACATATCGTTGGAAAAAAGCTGAAATGTTTTCCTTTGCGAGTACAGTTACTGGAGTATAGAGTAGTCAAAAATGAGTAGACTGGCTCATTTTTCTGTGTTTTCATAACTTCTGCAGATTGATACAAACCATTCTCAGTAAGGACAATAAAATGAAATTAAAAAATTCGGTTCAGTCGGGGTCGATAGGTATCTTGGACAATATTTTGCCACATGAGCCTCATTGCTGCACAATTTTCAAAACAGTGAACACCTATTCTTCCAACTTGCAAAGTGAATCTCGGCTGTGTCAGGTCGTTTTTCACTTCGCTCCGGATGTTTAGATCCTGAATAACCTTTCGCGAGTATCTCGCTAGTCACCATCTATCAATAGAGCAGTCAAATGCAACAACCTTTCTCGGAAGTTTCAAAAAAGAATCTTTCGGAGATATTTTGGCGTCATTCTACACTGCTCCGATCATATCTGATAATCACCAATTGCACTTGTCAGTTCAGCGCAACATATCGAAATGTGAACAAAAGCGGAACCCAAGCGGACATTCCTCTTGAATATTTTTTAATTTGTTTTTAAGAGTAATGAACGTAGTGAGTACTCTTATATAGGTCTTGCTGATTTTTTTCAGGCTCAATTTTGATTTTTCGCGGTTTGACTTGTGATTTCTTTTCAAGTTCAGTGCATTTCCATTGTTAAAAGGAAGGCAAACTCCACAATCGAACAGCGAAATTGTAAACGTGGCGAAAAACGTGATCGAATTCTAATTGCTAAAATCGAAGTTAATTATCAGATTTCCCAGCGAAATGAAAGTTTCATCTATCGATCCAGTTTTCTCAAGTTGGGTTAATTTAAAAGCGTCCCTCATAAATTTTTCTACGTATTAAAAGAGTTTTAAAGCCATCTAGTTTTTGAAGGTTTTTGAAAAAACAAGTCAGTTTTTTTTTTCAGTTCCTTGCGTTCATTGCTCTTTTCCACTGTCAGTTGGCCATGTTTTTTCATTCAATTGATGGCTCTGTCAGCTAGGGCTACTATATAAACAGAAGTACTTGGAGAATTGCCTGCGAGTGCATCTATTGTAACTAGTGGAAAAAGCTTGAAACTCGAACTTGATATTAACATTTAATTAATGTGACTCAAAAATCCTTTGGGAGGCTATGCGACTACTACAGCTACTGTCTGTCTAACTGAATGTGTATGTCTGCTCTGTGTGTAGGAGAAGTTTGGGGTGGTGCAGCATGCGTCCAAGTGTGTGGTGGATCTGTACCGCAGTCTGCAGCTGTCATTTGCCCCCCTCCACATCCACGACACTGTGCTGAAAAGTGTGGAAGAGGTGAAGCAACAGCTGCAGGGGAGTGAGGGTGAGACGACCACTGAGTTGACCAAGTACATCCCCCTCATCCAGCCTGTCATGGTGGTGACTGTCCTAAAACAGGTACACACACACACAACCATACACGCACTCAGGGGCGGATCTAGGATTTTCAGAAGTTTTTCTTTTTTCTTAGGTCGAGCAACTTGATTTTCCGAGCTCTCCCAAATCACTAAAAAGACCGTTTTGGTAAAATTTTCTGCGCCGCTGGCAAAAGTTAGAAAAACAGGCCAAAAAAGGCTTGTAAGCACTTTTTGGAAATTTTTGACCATAAAATCGCGTTTTTTGGCGCACGATCCCCACTCAAAATTAGTATATATTGGCGCCAAAGGCGCCTTTAGAAAAATTTTAGGGTCGTCACCAAATATGTATATCTCAAAATAGTACAAAGGGGGACCACGCACTAAAGCGAGTTGGGGAGAAAACGCTTATAAGTGCATTTTAACTCTTTTTTTTATTGGAAATTCGAAATTTGAGGTTTTTTCTAAAAACAAGTCTTTTTTTACCGTTTACGTGCGTTCATCGAGGCTTTCCCAAATGTTTGTTGGCTAAGTTTTCTGTTTTGCGTTAATTGACTCTTTTCCAACTTTCGGTTGGCTAGGTTCGAAATGTCTGAGAAGTCATATTTATGTTCGCATCATCTACAAGATTCTAATTAATTTTGATGCGAAAGGTTGGTGGCTCCTGAGTGAAATGGTCATACATGTTGATGAAAAAGGTATGAAGGAAAGCGTGTGATGGATGTGTTGCAGATCTCGGAGATCTACAAGTTGATGAAGCTGGAGCGACTGCAGCAGATTCTGCACTCAATCGATGCCGGTGAGCTGCAGAAGTTGTGTCTGGGAGCAGCCAGGAGTGGCCAGGTGCAGCTGAGCATAGACGAGAGAGCCAAGTGTGTCGTTTTTGGAGGGGCACTCAAGATGGGGGCAGGGGGAGGGCCAGGTATCCACATATACACTTACACATATACACTCACTCGCACATAGTCTCATAGATTGATAGTATAGTTAATGACTGTTACCTAGCTAGAAGAGCGTCTACTGTTTTTCTAGGCTAGTTTTTGAACGCAATTTAGCGTTGAAATATGTGAAAAATTGGTATCAAAATGAGCATTCTAGGATAACAGTTTTAATCGCCAGTGGATTTAGTGGGGGGGGGGGGGCGGACGCGGACGCTTCCTCTGCCTCAGGGATTCGACCCCCTGCCGACCCATAGGGTCCTCCTTTGTACTATTTTGAAATATCCAATTTTGGCTGACTGACCCTAAATTAAAGGTAGGTAATTTTGAGGGGGGAGCGCGCGCCGAAAAAACGCGATTTTTTGGTCAATTTTTTTTTGAAAAAGTGCCTAAAAACGCCTTGGTGTGTTATTTTTTTTCAAAACAAATTGCCTGCGGCCCGGAAATTTGATCAAAATGGGGAATTTTTTTAGTAATTTGGTAGATAGAGCTTCGAAAATAAATTTGGTTGACCAGAATCCCTATAATCACTGATGATTGGAAGCTCAAGAACTCTTTTAAAAGTTTGCATGGACGAGCACTAGATTACAGAGGCGCATACTCTCATAGTAGCCTATGCTAACTTGTACGCAATAAGTGGAGGAATCATATCGCAGTGGGAAACCATTTGATGTGTGTTGTTTTTGCTCCGTTGGGAGTTGTAATTAGATTTGAAAGGGCAGCGTGGTTGTTGTTGTTTATTTAGGAGTGGGTGGTGGGGACGTTGTGATGGCAGCAGGGGGTGGGGGTGGGAGTGTGCAGTGGATGGAGAGTGAGGAGATGCGGGAGATGGTGAATGAGGTGGCCACTGTGCTGGACAAGGCCACTCACATTGTCTATCCAGAGAACTACCAGGTATTAAAGAGGGGGGAGGGGGCATAACTGATGAGACTGACACCAGTCTCAAGAATAAAGAATAAACACTAGTTGAACATTAGACGATACACCGATTCCTAATGCTTCAACCTCAGTTGATAACATCTCATTTTTGTACCCTGAATATCATTTGTGGTCTAGCTGTGCTATCTGAATTCTTGTAGAGCAGAGGCAGATAGCTGTCAGAAGTATAATAAAAGAGCACCTGTATAAAAAACTAGTTATAAGGAACGTTTGCTAAACTTCAGAAATGAGTGTGTGTGTGTTTATTGTAGCAACAGAGGAGTCGTCTGCGGGACAGTGTGTGTGGCATGTACTTGACCTACAGACAGGTGGAGCATGACCGGATGCAGGAGAGGCCGGAGAGGATTGAGAAGCGACTGGAGGACATCGAGAGGGAGGCCAGGGCCAAGGAAGAGGAACAGGTAGGCCCCACTCTCCCCACTTCCTACATTGCTAACTATCAAACCAATTTCAATTAAAAGAAGAGCTCGTGGTAGTATGCCATTTTTTTGACATTTTGATCGTTTTTATAACCGATGAAGTGGTTGATTGGGCGTGTAGGTGCGTGAGCAGCAGAAGCGGGATGAGGAGCTGCGAGTGGAGGAGGAGCAGAGACTGGCGAGGGAGGCACTGATGCGGGAGGAGCAGCGAAAGTGAGTGCACCACAGTCACACACGTGTGCATGCTAACAGCATAAAGTGTTGGACAATGTAAGTTCTCTTGCGTGTTCTGTTCAACCATGTGTGTGTGTGTTTAGGAAGGAGGAGTTGAAGAAGTTGGAGAAGAACAGACTGAAGGAGCACCTGGAGGGGTTGAAGAAGAGTGCGGGTGTGGGGGGTGGGGCAGGCGGCAACAGTATCCTGCAGGACATTCAGGACGATGACCTGGAGGACATGAATGCGAATGACCTGTTAGCCAGGCGCAAGGAGGAGATCATGAAGGAGAACAGGGAGAGGTCAGCACTCACCCTGCAAACAAAACACACGAAGAAGCACTGGCTTCTGTTGCTGTCTGTGCTGTGAAGTTGTGTGTATGTGTGTTTGTAGGGTGGAGCGTATCCGGAAGGAGGAGAAGAAGGTGGACCACTGGGAAAGGGCTCTGAGGGAGGTGGAGTTGTCTGGGATGGCAGAGTGGATCCAGCAGCAGATGCAGATGAGGAAGCACCAGTGGGACACCAGTCAACACAACAAGGTACACCACACACAACCGCACTCTTACTAGTTCATAGTCAGTTGTAGAATTGGGCCAAGGGGTACATATTGTACATCCACAGTGGTACCTTTGGAGGTTACTTGGCTGAACTTCTGTTAGTTTTGCTACGTGGTTACCGAGATTTTCTGGACAAACTTTTCAAAAAGTGTTGAGAAACGCGAACTTGTTTGACTCAAGTAAAAGGGAAGTTAAACACGTAGAAGAATCTTTTATAAAATTGGAGCCTGATTAAGAGGAACTTGGCATATCGTTAAGACGCCCACTTCGAGATTCATGTTGGAGATTCGTGTTGGATCTCTTACCATGGCAATGATAGTTTGTGAGGACGAACTCTCAGTTGACCTCTCACAGGTCTAACATTGCCTGACCGAGTTCGGGTGCAATAGTGGAACCACGTGGTGAAAATTCTTGACGGAAAAAAGAAGATCGCTCAACACAATAAATCAGTCTGAATGTGGGGAAATAATACAAATGGACTATGCTTGGACAGGCTTGATAGCCTTTTTCAACTCCTCTGCGTATCGCAGAAGCATCATTTAGTATTAATAGGAAAGCCTGAAACACTGTAGCTAAGCTTGATTGTTAATGTGTGTGGTTGTAATGTAGATTGAGCAGATGAAGGAGGAGGTTGAGAAGCGGCGCAGCATGCGTGCCAAGTGCATCATGATGGTGGAGGACAAGGAGGTGTTTGTGGAGAGACTACACCACAACAGACAACAACTCCTCCAGGTATCTACTCTTCCACTTCCACTGCTCATTCCAATTCCACTTTCATTCCCCCACAGCCACGCCACAAAAGCAAAACTATATGCTAGTATGATAGCATCTACTGAGAGTTAGACTAATTACGCTTGCTATTAACAAGCGTTATCAAATCGGAATGTAGACTTTCTTTCGGGTATACAACTAGTTTAACAAAATCACTTATGATGCTGACATGCTGAATTACATGAAAATTCAGTTTAGCTACTGGCTGGGTACTAATTACTACAGGGTGGTTTCAGGGGGAATTTTTTACATAGTAATTTTTTTTCGGCTTAACTGGTGTCTGCTTGAAGATTTTCGGCCTTGCTTCCGCTTCGTAAGTTAGTTGCTAGTCACCCTTGCAACTAATTTGTTTTTTGGGTTTCTTTTCTAAATTATATGAATTTAACTAGAAAATACCCTCTGACATCTGAGATTTTGGTTTTAATCCAAAACACGGGTTGTGGGAAGCTCCTTTGCATACCCGAATACGCCAATTTTTCGACACAAATTTATGGCCCTCGGAAAAGCCCTCGGATTTTTTTACCATTTTTTGAAACTTTTTGACTTTTCTCGAGAAGTCAAAGGAGAAGTCTTTCCTTAGGTTTATGGGTTCAATCGAAATAACAGAATGCGCGAATCTCTTTTGCATATGCGGCTCCATCAAATGTTTAGGCAACAGGCTATGACTTTCGGAAATCGTTTTTTGCTTTTTTCTTGATAACTATTTTGCCAAATCCAATATCGTAGGTTTAGTCGGCTCAAAAGATTGTTGGAAGGAAGCTCACCTTTATAATTTGCTACGCCCTGTTTCTTGTAGAAAAAAGTTATGATCTTCAAACAAGTGAAAATTTGAAAATTGACAGTTTCTTTGGAAGTTTTTTGACTCTGCTTGAAAATTCCGTGCCAATTCTCAGGTTAAGTGTTTAATCGAAAAAGCTGATTTTTAGATTTTTCTACTTTACCGGCCACGAATTGCTTGCAGCAGAAAAAAGTTTTTGAACTTTGACCGTTTCTTAGAAACTTTTTGAATTTTCTCAAAACGGATAAGAAAATTTCAAACGAATGAAGAGGTTGCGCGTAGTTTTCATGCAGGTGCAGCTACTCCTTTTTTTTAAAAGAAAGGTTAGGTCTGCGAAAAAATTCCAAAATCTCAAAAAAAATTCTTGTTTCTCTAATAAAATGAATAACTAAGGGCAATTTTCGAAAACACGCAATTTCGTCCCGCATCGGTATGAAAAATTCAAAAAATGTCACATACATACCGCCATCTTTAGTTGAGCCCTAGGTGTCCTTCATCGAGACATACAAAATATTTGGTTCACCTAGTTTTTTTTTTCAACATTTTTCATTTTGTTTCGACATGCTTTTTATGATTACGTTGTATCGCAAGTGGTGCGAAGCTCCGCTTAGCCTCTGTGTAAAAATGCGTAGCGGATCATTATAAGCAGTATTATGTGGAGAAAAAGTATCGGGTAGAAGATAGAGCTGATATGCTGGAGTAAAGTTGCGATTGTAGAGAGAACAAATAATGTGTATCAAAGAGATCTGATATATTGTGAGAAGCGCCCAGGATCGATTATGTTGTGATGTGAATTTTTGTGTGCAGGAGCGTGTTGAGAAGTGGGAGCAGTCTCTTGCAGTCGAGAAGGAGCGTCTGCTGGCGGCGAGGAGGAACAAGCGCAAGCAAGAGAGGAGGGCCCAGTACTTTGCCAGACAGAAGCGGGAGGAGGAGCGGAGGGCGGCGGAGGAGGAGGAGGCGGAGAGGAGACGTGTGAAGGATATGGAGGAGGCACAGGCCCGGAAACAAGAGGAGGAGGAACAGATGCGTAAGTGGTCACACTCAATATCTATCCTCACACTGTAGTGTCAATGAGTGAAGTTACTCGTTCAAGTTACTCGCTTTTGATTTTGAGATGGCGGGTTGAAGTGTGAAATAACAAAGTGATTATCACTGACATAGTTTTTTTTTGCTGGGAAGTTTCTAAAAAGCTCTAAAAAAGTGCGTTCATACTGATAAATGCATTAATGAATGCCCTAAAAGCCTCTAATAACTACAGAACATCATCATACGTATCGATAAAAAAAAGCTGTGTTCATTTCGATATAGTGTGTTGCATTGTATCAAAAGGCCAACGTTGTTCGAACATATTTCGTGTTCTTGGTTTAGTTGTGTATGACGATGAAGCGCGATTATAATGCTCATAAAAAGCTGGTCACGTTACGATATATTTATTGGCCTTTGAGTTTTGTTGATTGTGTGGTCTTGGTTTTCGTATGAAGGTTTGAATGATGATTGCGGAATGCACTGGTTCATAAATCGGATAAGTCAGTTTTTTTTGGAATTGATTGCTTATTCATGCTTTCGCAATTTTTGCAATGATGCACTCGACTAATTTTTTCAAATCATCAGGAAAGGCGGTGCCCATTTCGGTGTAGTTAATTTAATGAGCTGATTCTTTTGTGATGGGTGTTCTTTTGGCGCATAGTCTAAAAGTCAGATTAGCCATGCTTGTTTAAATGATGATACCAGATTCCCCTTTGTTTGATGAAATAAAAATCCATTTCGAATGAGCTCAGTTTTCTGATAAGTTATTTCTACCATTTTTGAAATCCCGGGTTTTGCCGAAGTTGATACCGAAAAATTGTTTTGATTGCTAATTGTAATTATGGTTGATGTATATATATTTCCTTTGTTGACTCCGGTATTCGTAAGGAAATTTAGAAAGTGAAGGTCTTCTTTGGTTTTTGCTTTTACTTGCAATGAGTTTCCCTTTCGAATTTTGTAACAAGGATTCATATGCACTTTTTCAGTAAAAAAACAATTCAATTTGAAGTTGATGACGTTTTTATCCTTTCTTTTTTCTAGATGATGATCCTGGATTCCCCTTATTGATCTTATGAAATACAAATCCGCTCTGATTTTAAACGCAATATGTCGTCTTGGTTTTCTCATGATCTTTTCATTCTTGATCAGGGGCTCCACTGGTTTTTAAACTGAAAGAAGTAGACGTTGTTCTAAATGATTTCTAATTGATATAGCAATTTTTTCGACGCTGGAGCGCCATTAACCTTAATGCTCTTAAAAGAGTGGTCATATTCTGATGTGAAAATTGGTCTTCGAGTCGTGACGATTTATCTTTAATGATGATAAGGTATTGCACGGGTTCATAAAATGAAATAAATCAGTTTTTTTTTAGTTTGATTTCATTTTCATGCTTTGGCAATTTTGCAACGATGACTTACTTTTTTTGCTCACATGAACAAAGCTGTGCCCATTTTGATGTAGTTTCATTCCTTGAATCTTTTATGATGGGTGACTTTTTTCGCTCATAGTCTGAATGTCGTTATTTAAATGATAATACGAGATTCGCTTTGTTGAATTTTGAACTACCAATCCATTTTGATGATTTTGCTTATTTTTCAGGCAAGTTGTTTTTTCTATTCATGCAATCACGGGTGTCTTAGGAGTTCATACTGATGAAATGATTATATTGCATAATATCATTCCCCTTAATGATATTATGAAATCAAAATACCCTCTGAGTTTAGTTGATTGTGTGGTCCTTGTTTTGTATGAACTCTAAACGATGATTATGGTCTGCACTGTTTCATGATGAAATTAGTCAGTTGTTCTGGAATTGATTTCGTATTTTAGATGGTAACTGGTTCATAAAATGGGTCATACGTGCTGCACTAGTTCAGAAAAAGAATTAAGTCAACTGTTTTAGAATTGATATTGTTTTCATGCTTTTTGTAACTTTTGCAATGATGAAGCTCGACTAACTCTTAATGAATCAGTAAAAAGCTTTGCCCACTGCGATATAGCTAAATGCCTTGATTTTTTTGTGATGGGTGATAATGGGTGATTCTTTTCGCTATAATCATCAAGTCAGATTAGTCATTGTTTATTAAACGATGTTACCAGATTCCCCTTGTTGAATAATGGAATAACAGTCCAATCTAATTTAACTCGGTTTTCATGCATGTAATTTTTTTCTACTCTTGCAATGACTAGTTTTGTCGGAGTTGATATTGAAGAGTTGTTTTGATTGCAAGTTGTATTTATGTAGTTGTTTTTCTTCTCTCCGGTATCCTCAAAAAATTGTTGAAATTCAAAAATTTTCTGACTTCTGTTTTGCTTGCAATAGTTTTTTCTGTAGAATGGGGCAACGAGGATTGAGATTCGCATTACCATTTAGAAAAAAAAAAATCGATTGCATTCTTGAGATAATGATTTTTTCATCTTTTGTTTTTCTTTCTAGATGGTGACTGGTCCATAAAATGGTTCATACGGGCTGCACTGGTTCATGAATGAAATAAACCAGTTGTTTTGGAATTGATATTGTTTTCATGCTTTTTGTAATTTTTACAATGGTGACGCTCGGCTAACTTTTAATGCACCACAAAAAAGCTGTGCCCATTTCGATATAGTTTTCGTTCATAATCTCCAAGTCAGATTAGTCATTGTTATTTAAATGATATTACCAGATTTTACTTGTTGAATAATGGAATAATAATCTATTCTGAATGAGCTATTTATTTTTTGATTAGTTATTTTTATTTTTAAATTCCGGGTTTGGCCCGAGTTGATACTGAAGAATTGATATGATTGCTAGTTAGAAGTATGGTAGATGTTTTTTTTCTGTTGACTCGTGTATCCATTAGAATTTTTAGAAACTAAGACTCTTCTCTTTTTTTTGCATAAGTGGAAAAAAATCATTGCAATGAAACCAAAATTGAAGAAGAGTCTTAGTTTCTTGAGAAACTAAGAGATGCATTTTGCCAGTTAATAAAAATCGATTTAATTATGAGTTGACCTTTCTATCTTTTGTTTTTTGTAGATGATGATCCTGGATTGCCCTTATTGATCTTTTGAAATACAAATCAAATCTGATTTTAGCACAGTGTGTCGTCTTGGTTTTCTCGTCATTTTTAATTGATGATCAAGGACTCCACTTGTCCATAAACTGCAAAAAAAAAACAATGTATCGAATCTTCTTTCGGATTTTGCAACAATTTGAGATACACCTTACCAATAGAAAACAGTTTAATTTGAGTTGACTTTCCTATCCTTTGTTTTTTTTAGATGATGATTCTGGATTCCCCTTATTGATCTTTTGAAATACAAATCAAATCTGATTTTAGCACAGTGTGTCGTCTTGGTTTTCTCATCATCTTTTAATTGATGATCAAGGACTCCACTTGTCCATAAACTGAAAAAAAAAATATATCGAATCTTCTTTCGGATTATGCAACAATTTGAGATACACCTTGCCAATAGAAAACAGTTTAATTTGAGTTGACTTTCCTATCCTTTGTTTTTTTTCTAGATGATGATCCTGGATTCCCCTTTTTGATCTTATGAATTATAAATCCACTCTGATTTTAGTACCTTATGTCGTCTTGGTTTTTTCGTCTTCTTTTAATTGATGATCAAGGACTCCACTTGTCCAAAAACTGAAAAAAGCTGACGTTTTTCGAATTGATCTCGTTTTCTCGGTCAGCTATGTGTTTGACGTCAAAGCGCGATTACCTTTATTTCTCATAAAACAGCTGGTCACGAATGATGATATAATAATTGGCCTTTGAGTTTGTGACTTTTTTTTTCTACAGATGATGATCTTGGGTTCACCTTATTGATACTCTGAAAACAAAATACCCTCCGAGTTTGTTGTTTGTTTGAACTTTTAATGGGTTTTTACAGGCTGCATTGTTTGATACATTTAAATAAGCTAGTTGTGTGGAATTGGTTTAATACTCTTTCTTTTTTTTTGCTACGATGACAGTCGACTGTCTTTTAGGTCGTATGATATGAAGAAAGCTGAGCCGATTTCGATGTAGTTCTTCGCCTCAATTCTTCCATGATTCTTCATTGCCGTATTGCGTGCTTCTTTTTGCTCATAACCTCAAAGTCAGATGAGCCGTTGTTATTTAAACGATGACACCAGATTCCCCTTGTTCATTTATGAACTACCAATCCATTCTGATTTTGCTTAGCTTCCAGGCAAGTTGTTTTTTCAATGTAGGTCTTCTTTGATTTTTTCTTTACCTGTAACGAATCTTCTTTCAGATTATGCAACAATTTGAGATACACCTTACCAATAGAAAACAGTTGAATATGAGTTCACTTTCCTATCCTTTGTTTTTTTTCTAGATGATGATCCTGGATTCCCCTTTTTGATCTTATCAATTATAAATCCACTCTGATTTTAGTACCTTATGTCGTCTTGGTTTTCTCGTCTTCTTTTAATTGATGATCAAGGACTCCACTTGTCCAAAAACTGAACAAAGCTGACGTTTTTCGAATTGATCTCGTTTTCTCGGTCAGCTATGTGTTTGACGTCAAAGCGCGGTTACCTTTATTTCTCATAAAACAGCTGGTCACGAATGATGATATAATAATTGGCCTTTGAGTTTGTGACTTCTATTTTTTTCTACAGATGATGATCTTGGGTTCCCCTTATTGATACTGTGAAAACAAAATACCTTCCGAGTTTGTTGTTTGTTTGAACTTTTAATGGGTTTTTACAGGCTGCATTGTTTGATACATTTAAATAAGCTAGTTGTGTGGAATTGGTTTAATACTCTTTTTTTTTTTTTTGCTACGATGACAGTCGACTGTCTTTTCGGTCGTCTGATTTGAAGAAAGCTGAGCCCATTTCGATGTAGTTCTTTGCCTCAATTCTTCCATGATTCTTCATTGCCGTATTAGGTGCTTCTTTTTGCTAATAACCTCAAAGTCAGATGAGCCGTTGTTATTTAAAGGATGACACCAGATTCCCCTTGTTCATTTATGAACTGCCAATCCATTCTGATTTTGCTTAGC